TGTTCTTATTGATATGTGCAGTGAAAATTCGAGGACGAATTTTCTTAAAAGGAGGGGAGATTTGTAACATCTTCAATACTGGGTTAGTGATCAAATTGTAAAATTTTAGAAATTGGTGATTAAAGTGGGATAATTGAATAGTCCAATGACTTACTAGAAGATATTTTATGCATCATTGTTAGTAATTATTAGATGAAGTAAAGGGTAAAATAGTCATTTGACATGGAAGATTTTTATTTTCCTTTATTAGATAAGAAGCCCACGTGGAAGAGAAAAGAGGGCAAAAATAAACTTCCAGAGTTCTCTTCTTCTTCTTCAGTCGTGAGTCACCATGGCAAAGGTGAGTTTTGTGGTTAGTTGATTATTTGTTGAAATAAAAGTTGGTTTATGATTATGGGATGATAATTAAGCTTAAGGAAAGCTTAAATTATCTTAAAAATAAAAGATAATGGAGTTATGAGAGATTAAGTAAAATGAGTTTTTAAGTGAATTCTTGAAATAAAAGGAGTTAATAGATTTTTAAGTTGAATTTGACTTGGCAATGGTTAAATTAAGGAATATGAATTGTTAAAAGTGGATTTAGAACATGATGAAAATTGAGTATGATTCTTAAATTTCATAAGGAGGATAGGATTTTGAGGTTAAAGATGATATACCTGGATATAAGTTGGTTTAAGTAATGGTAGTTGAGTTTAATGACATGATAGGGGCTTAAAATAGAAAAAATGAGTGAAGAGTTGATGATTTTCGTGATAAAATGACATTTCTGGGCTATGTGCATCGATGCACATTCAATGTGTACCGATGCATCAAGAGTATTTCCAAAAAATCGTTCAGTGTGTATCGATGCACAAGAAGTGCATCGATGCACCCATTAAAAATGGAAACATTGAAGGTGATTTGTGCATCGATGCATGGGTAGTGCATCGATGCACATATTAAAGAATGCATCGATGTACTGTAGAATGCACCGATGCACTTCAAGGGGAAATTGAAATAGATATTTCTTTTGGTCTAAGAAATGATAGATTAGAGCATATCAATTGGATACTGATATGTATCAATATGTGATTATGTAGATATCAAACACGAACAAGTTCTGGAACGATCATCAAATTAAGATTCGATCGAAAGAAAGGAAATCATAAAAGCGGATCAGAACTTAGTGAGGCCAGGTGAGTGCATTTTAGAGATGTATGATGAATGGAGACAAGACTCGCGATGAGTCTATTTTCGATGCTTGTATGCATGAAATCATGAGCATGATCATTGGTGTAAGATGAGTATATGTGCTATTTGTGATTATATGTATTACATGATTTGTATGTGTGCATTATTATAATGGTGATATAAATTTATAGGATAAACACTATAGAAACTATGATATATGAGCTATAAAATGAAGAACTATAGAATCCCTATGAGAAGGATTATAGAAGTTATATGAAACTGAATTAAATAAATAGAATAATCTAGTATTTAAATATTGTGATATAAGTGATACATGTCATATGTTATTGTAAAGGTTAATGTTATAAATTATGTAATTAGTAATAGGGAAAGGAGAGAAGATATATGACTATGAGTATTGAATATGTATCTATGTGATATGATCTATGAGATCACATGAAATATATGACTATGTTATTATATGAAAAAGAATACAATGATATGTGATAAGCTCTGTGATATGCGAATCATATGAAAATGTTCTACGCGTAAGTGAACCACGTGTCTATATGTATATGTGATATGTGATTTATATAACAATGAGCTATGTGGAAGAACTATGAGACTATGTATATATGAATGTATTATAACATAAATATTAATGCCCATGTTATGTGATATGAGAGCTAGAGGTATAGTTGGCATGCCAAGAGTCGAGGGTCTACGCGGTCATTCGGGACATATATGTATTCTTTGGAACATGTGTGAGGCCTTTTGAGACACATACTTGATCCTTGGTATATGTATATGATTCTTAAGGAATTTTCTACGTGGTCATTATGGACAATCTTACATGGCACTCTGGTGCATTTCTACGCGGCACTACGGTGCAATTCTACGTGGCACTTTGGTGCATTTATATGAGCTGTGGTGACAGCATTAGTGCACAACCTCAATAGACTCACATATCTATAGTTATCAAAAGTGTACATGGGCTAAACAAAGGATAACAATGAACATAATACTTATGAAGTATATGCTTTTGGTGATATGAATTGTGTTATATGATTGATACGATGATGTGTGTGTGGTTTGAATGAGTCATATGTTGATAAAAAGATTAGGTATTAAAAGGTACGATTAAAGGATATAAATGATAATACTATGGATAATAGAATAAGATTAACGATGGAAATGACGAATTATGTGTATATGCGTACAGTTAATTATATATGAAGTTATATTGTGTGTGATAGCATGAGATATATGTACATGCTGTTTAAATAGTTCAAGTTACTCTTATACGTTAATGCCTCACTAAGTCATAGACTTAGCGTGTGATTGTTCACATGTATGAGAAGCGAGAGTGGATGTAGCGAGGAGTAAGACAGGTCAGTATTTTCCTTACGATGATCAGATTAGAAACATATTGAACAAGTGTACTTTGTTTATAGAGTTAGTTGGCATGTAGTTACAAGATTTTTAAATTGAATATGCTCTGAATAGTTCTGTAAATGTTTGAAAAGTCAATGTGACACCTAGGACTCGGATCCGAGTCGGATACGGGTTGGGGGTGTTACAATATCCTTAGGTTGGTTCCCTTTTATTGTGTGCTTAAGGTAACCCTACGGATCTAAGGATATCCTTGAGTAGGCCCATAGGCCCCAATGTATATCCTTAGGTTGGCTTCCCTTTTGCTGTGTGTTGAGGGCATGCCCTATGGATGCAGTTGAACTGCATAATGGAGTTTGGTTGGGGGTTCAACTATGGTTTTAAAAGATTTATATCTTTTCACGGGTTTTGATTGGAACACACTAGACATCCTATTCGATCTCCTGAAAATGTCATACTTTGAATGCTTCCTATGAACCATGATCTTCATGGCCTCAACTTGATGAATTACTAATGGAACCCCAGATTATTCTGCAACGGGTATACGTCTGATTCAATAAGGAAATTATATGGATGTCTATTTATCTACATGTCGTGTAGCATCATCTAGTAGTTCTGTATTACTGTGCTTTCCGAAGCTCACTCTATTACTCACCATTGCAGGATAAAAGAATTGTACCAGTGCAGCTATCGATATCAATAAGGGAGTTCTTCTGGCGTTGCTTTCAGAGGATGGTATATGTGATTAGGGGGTATGTAGATTGTATTTTGTTTTATATCTGAGTTTGAAAAACCTGTTTAAGTTCTGAATAATAATAAATCATTTTATGATTTTACATGTTTTAAGAAAAATTTTAAATTTTCCGCTATTTTTACAGTGGGTCGCTCCGGTGGCCTAATGTGACAGTCCAGATCGGATCGGGCTATCTGCATCGGTCTGAGGGGGTTACATTTAGTAGTATTAGAGCTTTGGGTTGAGTCAAATTTTCAAGATAGACTGGCCGGTCGAATGTCAAAATATGTGTGATCAGTACATGCCCCTAGACTACAATCATATCTCTCTGAGCCGGAACTCCAAGGATGAATCCCTATCTGTAACGAGTAAACCAAAGTTTCTATTCGTTAAGGCTATAATTCTACAAAAAGGAATACCAGTAACATCTGTCTAAATACTGTGAAGTACCTCACGAGCCATGTAGGAGTTATTTATCTGAAAAATTCTGACTCGACTCCGGAAATGAAATTGGGATATGCTACTGCTCTATGAGCCTATTCTCATGATCAAGACTGGATTGATTACTCAAGGAAATTTTCGTTCAGATTCTTTTATTGAAATGAGGAAAAATTCTGATAAGAATGTATACTCAGCTGGTTAAGGATTAGTAAAGAACCCGTATTTCTGTAAAAGCTATTTGAAGCTATGAAAGAATTGATGGAAGTTTTATTTATTCATTTCTGTGATTGGAATGAATTTCGAGGACGAAATTCTTTTAAGGAAGGGAGAATAACAATTAAATAATTAAGTGGTCTGAATGACAAAATTAAAAGATCTATAGTTAAAGTAAAATGGTTAATAGTTAAGTGGTCAATCATATAATTTACCCATATTACTATTTTAATCATCTATAAATATATTTTAGGCATAATGCCAAAAATAGCCCCAACGTTCACCAAAATGGTTTGACCCATATTTTTCTTCTTCTTTTTTAGTATTTTGGCCTCCAATGTTTCACTATGGAGCAAAAGCTCCCTTTATAGATGAAAACTATTAGATAACACACGATTAACGCTCCAAAATATGAACCCTTTTAACCTAAAATGAAATGTTAATGGCTAAAATGCCTCAGAAGAAAGGGGACAAGGTGATTATTCTATCAAATGTTAGAGTTTTTTTACCCTAAATGAAACGGTAGGGGTAAAAATGTTCTAAAAATATAATAAGAGACAACATAACCATTTTGATAAATGTTGGAGTCTAATTTTAACATTATACTTATATTTTAAGACAAATTTTATCCGTGTCATCCGATTAAGATCCGTTACATAATTAATCATTGATAAATAATTTGGTCAAAATTTAGTTTTTAATTGAGTTAAAATCTAGTTCATTATCTATGGACTATATAAAGAAAACTAGTTCATTATTCTTTACAAAAATGTTGCCAAATAAATAGTTTATGATTCATGTACTTAATAATTGGATTACATGAACTGAAAATTAACCAAAAGAGGGATGAAACTTATTGTAAATATGCGAGGAATCTATAACAAAAGACAAATAAGACATAAGTCTCTTATATGGCAAGTACAACTATGGATATTGCCAATTAATATTTTCAATATTTTCTGCCTTATAAAGATTCCATTTTTATAACACAAACTAAACCACTAAGGAAAAAGGAAGTTGATGCTATCCTTGAGGTATGAGTTTAAACACCATGTACCAGCCATACTGGAGGAGAATGGGAGACAAGTGTACGGTCGTGATCCCTGGTCGTGATTTGATGAGTTACTTCAGTGACCCGGGAAACTTGTGCTGGTTTCTGATGCCGGAGCTCGATGATGCAATCAGGAGACTGCACCGTGTCGTTGGGAATGCGGTGGTTGATGACGACCGATACGTAATCGTCGGCACTGGCTCGACACAGCTCTTCCAGGCGGTTCTTTACGCCCTCTCTTCCCCACACAAGCCTGACACTGAGCCCCTCAGTGTGGTAGCCGCCGCCCCTTTCTACTCGGTAAACACTCTGATACAGTTTTAACCCTCGATTTCGGTTGAATTTTGAGATGATCTTTTTATCCTCTCTTTTTTTAATAACTCGGTTAAGTCAAATCAATGTATCCCACTTCTGTCGTGTTGGGTTCTTATCGTTTTCATCGAGGGTTGTTTCCATGTTTATTAGAACGTCTTTGCATTAATGGAATCGGTTCCATTTTTCCATGACATCGGGAAACGTTTGCACTATGGGGTTGTCTCAATTGGGACAATGGAACAAACATGTTTTCTCAAAAACAGCTGGGTACTGCTGACTCTAATGTTAAATCTAATGTTAAAGACAATGATCCCATTATCCTGAAAAATTTGCTTAATCTTAACTTGCCTGGTGAAGCCTTAGCAGATTTAGCAAAAGATATCACTGTTGAAGAGATCAAGGATCACTATTTTTACTCAAGGTAATGATAAGGCTCTTGGCCGAGATGATTTTACTCCTTTATTCTTTAAAAAACCTGGTCAGTGATTAGTGAGGATGTGATTAAAGTAGATAAATTCTTTTCCCGAAAGTCTTACATGCTGCATGCTTTTAATTCCACCATCATAGCCTTGGTTCCAAAGATCACAAATCCTAGCAAGGTTAAAGACTATAGACCTATTTCCTGCTGCTTAGTGGTCTATAAATCTATCACCAAGATTCTTGTCAAAAGATTGACTAATCTGCTGCTAGAAATGATTACTCCTAATCAATCAACCTTTGTTAAAGGTCGAACCATTATTGATAATACTCTTTTTACTCAAGAACTAGTGAAAGGCTATGAAAGAAAGTCAATCTCCCCTAGGTGTGCTCTTAAGATTGACCTTCAAAAAGCTTTTAATTTCCTCCACTGGGAATTCATTTCTTCTATCCTAAAGGCCATTGAGTTGCCTCCTAAGTTCATTGTTTGGATTGAAGCTTGCTTTACTGAAGCTAGATACTCTATCTCTTTTAATGGATCCTTGATTAGTTATTTCAAAGGAGAAAGAGGCATAAGGCAAGGTGATCCTTTATCACCCATCTTATTTGTTCTTGCTATGAACATCCTCTCAAGAATTCTTAATATTGCTGCTGCCAGAGGTATTTTTGGGTTCCATTTTAAATGTAAAAAAATTGGCTTCACTCATATTTCTTTTGCCGATGATCTTCTAATTTTCTGTAAAAGAAATTTAGAATCATTTACTGGTGTAATTACTGTCTTTAACAAATTCTATGACATGTCTGGACTTAAGTTAAATGCAGCCAAAAGTGAACTGTTTGCTGCTGGTATTTCTTTAAGAACTCTTGAGAACATCAAACTTTCAACTAGTTTCAACTATGGTCTCTTACCAGTGAGGTATCTTGGTGTTCCTCTTGTCACTAGAAAACTAAATGAAAATGATTGCTCTGCCCTTATTGACAAGATCAGATCAAGAATACATTAATGGTCTGGAAAACACTTAAGCTATGCTGGAAAGCTTGAACTGGTTAAAATTGTCCTTCTTAACATAGCAAATTTTTAGTGTAGACAGTTTCTTCTTCCTCAGGCTGTTATAAATAGGATAAACCAACTATGCTCTCGGTTCTTATGGAAAGGCTCAGACACTGCATCTACTGGTGCAAGAGTCGGCTGGGAAAAGATTTGTTGTCCCAAATCTGAAGGAGGGCTCAGATTTTAGGATCTAAAATCTTGGAACAAGGCTTCTATGTTGCAGCTCATTCAAAAACTATTAGTTGGTGAAGGCTCCTTATGGATCGTATGGATTTATTGTTATGTGATAAAATCTAATGATTTTAGAGAGATGACTGAATGTGCTTCTGCTAGTTAGAGCTTCAAAAGACTTTTGAAAATTAAAACAGAGGCACTTCATTTTCTTAATGCAGGATCAATGAATACTAAAATCATTTGGGAAGAAATTCGGATAAAACGTGACAAGGTTCCATGGCACAAGCTTATTTGGTTTCCTCTTCACATCCCTAAATTCAGTATTATTACTTGGATGACTATTCTAGATAGACTCCCTACTAGAGAGAGGCTCACTCGTATGGGAATTACCACTGTTGATTCTTGTGTGTTATGCAATGAGGCCATTGAATCCAGAAACCATTTGTTTGCTGACTGTACTTTGGCAGCTTCCCTATGGAAAGAAATTTTAAACCTCAATCACTTAATCAAGCCTCCTATGTCATGGGATAATATGCCTGCATGGGCTTCTAATTCATGGAAAGGTAAATCTCTTCTCACTTCCATCATGAAGATTGCTTGGTGTACCTTTATTTATACGGTTTGGGAGGAAAGAAACATGAGACTATTCCAAGGAAGGGCTCGATCGGTTGAAGAAATGTTAAACTCCATAAAGGAGATTGTTGGTGCCCAACTTAGAAATAGAGATCTTAATAGCCTTGATCATGTTAATATTTTACTTTGTAACAATTGAGGTATAGGTTAACAATTTTTATTGTAAATAGCTTGTCTTTGATCCTTGATTGGGTTGTTTTGTATTGAACTCTTCTTTGAATAATAAAATTTTAATTTATCCAAAAAAAAACATAACAATAGTTTTTCCAAACATATGCATGTCGGCATTCTTTTGGATCTTAGAGCAAGCATGGTAACATGGGCATGTCTAGTTCCTTGAACCATGTGATGAGTCAACCCCATATTATCCACCTATAGGTGTGGATGCATGATTTTATGTTTTCTTTCCCTTGTTACAGTCATATCCTAAGGAGACGGAGTTTCTTCGATCGGGGATGTACAAATGGGTGGGTGATGCGTACACATTCGACAGAGATGGAGCATACATGGAGTGTGTAACTTCACCCAACAACCCCGATGGAACGATCCGAGAAGCGGTGGTGAATCGTGAAGGTGGTAAACTCATTCATGACTTAGCCTACTATTGGCCTCAATACACCCCCATTACTGGTAAGGCTGATAATGATATCATGCTATTCACCTTCTCCAAAGCCACCGGACATGCTGGTTCTCGCATTGGGTAAAGAATCTCCTGCCATGAAATAATAATCCAGAGTAAAAATGTTTTGATCATTTAATTTATAACCCTTATTTGTTCTGCAGATGGGCTATCGTTAAGGATAAAGAAGTGGCTACCAAGATGGTTAAGTACATGGAGCTTAGCAGCATTGGTGTATCGAAAGAATCTCAGCTTCGAGCTGCCAAGATTCTCGATGTGATCGCCGAGGATTGCTCGAATTCCGGCCCTGACAAAGAGGAAAACTTCTTTGAATATGGCCATCATCTCATGTCCGAACGATGGGAAAAGCTGCGGGAGGTGGTTAAACACAATGGCGTTTTCAGTCTACCTAAGTACCCTAGAGACTTCTGCAACTTCACAGGCAAAGAAACTGATCCAAGCCCTGGTAAACGAATGATCATAAAATTCAATCAAACCATAATGTTTGGCATACATTAAAACTTATGAAATTTGTTTTCTTTTTCCTTGTACAGCCTTTGCATGGTTGAAGACCAAGGATGGCTTAAACTGTGACAATCTCTTGAGGGAGTCTAAGATCGTCACAAGGGGCGGAACGAATTTCGGGGTCGATTTGGATTATACTCGGATCAGCATGCTGAGTCTCGACGAGGAGTTTAACCTTTTCCTGGAGAGGTTGGGAGCAATCAAAGGGAACATCAATGGAAATTACTAGTTGTAATCAAGAACAAAATCTTTGTTCATCTTTAAGTGTATATGCTAAGTATTTAGAGTTTACCCCTCTAGGAAGTAAGTTTTAGAATGCAGTTTGAACTTTCTAGCGCGGAGAAGAAGTTAGGGCTTATGGTTTAAAAGCTGTTGGCTCTTCTAGCCATGATGGTTTCGCATGTATGTTGCTTGCTTAATCATAATGATTTTAAATAAATTTTGCAAACAAAGTTAAAACTACTGATCCAAATTGTTGGAATTGTAAATAGAAAACTTGTAAGAGATATTAGAAGAATGAAGTGGTGGAAGTCTAACAAGAAATGCTATAAAAAATAGTTATCAAATTGTGATTTCATGAAATAAAAACTAGAACGTTTATTTTTTTTAAAAATAAATAAATAAGAACCAACAACTTAAATTGACTAAAAATTATTCAAATAATTGAAAGATAATATATTATTGAAGTTAAAAAGTAAATTTTTAGCACTCCTTGCCTTAGGAACTGCAAACTTCAAGTTGTTATAGGAAACAAAAGTCTGGTTTGCTTCCTATATTAACAAGCGCATTTCATAATTCGGAGGTCTCTTACGGAAACTGCTCTCAACCTGGTGTTGGGGCAGTCTACTATCTTACCTCCCCCTTATCCCATACATATGGGAAAAAGGGACAACCATTAACAAGCGCATCAGTTTGTAGAGATCGCTTCAGACTTGGGGGTGGGAGCTGTTCCTCTTATATCTATTTTTTTATTTTTATTTTGTGTCACAATCTATTATAGGTATAAAATTCAAAATAATTTTTGTCTTACGACCCGTAAGGACAATATTATTCTTTTTTGGATAAATAAGCTTTTATTATCCAAAGGAAGCAAAGTTGCTACAAAAGAACCAATCCAATCAATGGAACAGAAACAAGGGTAACCTATTTACAAACAAAATCATAGTATACCCCAATTGTTACATATATCAATGTTAGAGCTATCTAGTCTATTAATGTTTCTGTTACTTAAGTGAGTACTAACAGTTTGCTTGATAGCTTGGAGTACTTCCCCCTCGTTTCTGTGGGCACCTCTGAATAGTCTATGATTTCTTTCCTCTCAGATTATGTAGTTGAAAGCACACCAAGAGAGCTTGAGGATGCAAGTGATAAGGGATTTACCTTTCCAAGTTGCAGTCGCCCAAATAAGGAAGTTAGACCATGATAGTTGGGGTTTTTGAATACCTGAAAGAAGAAGAATAGAGCTCCAGATAGAGGCTGACATTTTGCAATCAGCAAAAAGACTAGTTTCCGAAGCTTCAGAACATAAGATGCACTGAGTGTTTGTAAGAATACCAAATCTCTGCAGCCTGTCCTTTGTTGGCAAACGATCCAGAATTATCATCCAAGTGATGATGATGTGCTTGGGAATATGCAAAGGATACCAGATCAGTTTCTGCCAAGAAACTTTGTTGCTCTTCAGTCTAACCTCTTCCCATAAACTTTTAGAACATTTCAATCCTGCAGACAATATTATTCTTGCCCTATCACTCACGTGAGTCTCGAGACTTATTTAATCCTTGTTATATATGTTTCGCGATTCATTTCATATAATATATTTATAAGTATCAGTTAAATAAATATAAACTAATTTTGTATGAATAAAAGTATGAATGTATATTCTTCAAACTCTCACTACACATGTGATATTACTTTTTTCGAACAATTCCTACCTAAGGGAGGGGAACGGAAATTTTACTCCTAATAGATATTAAACCCGCATCCTAAAGAACATGAAAAATGTCAACCGAGAGCTTTTAACCCACTGCACTAGAGACTGTTAACACATGCATATATGATATCATTTAAACTACTATCATATTAAAAACTATAATAAATCATTGTGACTGTAAAATAAAATATAACATAAAAACGAGTTTAAAAAAATCAAAATATGAAGTCATTATATAATATTCAAATACAAACAATTATATGAAGAGCGTAAAGATGCATAGGTCTATCCAGGGCCGGTTCTGACTTTTTTTTGGCCCGGGGCAAAATTAAAAAAATTGGGCCATAATTTAAAAGAATATTAAAAAATATGTAATATAAAATTTTAATTATTTTTTTATTAAATTAAATAAATATTAATTCATTACAAAATCAAAAATGTCAAAAACATATTTAAGCATATAAATACTTATAAAAAAATATTGTCTTCGAGCATTTCTTGATGCAAAATCATTGATAATAGTGTCAACATCAATGTTTTCCAACATATTTTTCTCAATATATAACATAGCTAACTCATTCAATCTTTCTTGTGACATTGTTGACCTCAAGTAATTCTTCAATAATTTCAGCTTTGAAAAACTTCTTTCCGCGGATGCTACCGTTACCAGCATTGTTAATAAAATTCGATAAGCAATTGAAACATTAGGATAACAATCTCTAGCTTTAACAAACTCAAGAACTTCAAGCGCTGACATGAATACATTTGGCAAAGTCAATTGCAACACTTTATTTTCAGAAAAAAAATCATCTGCATCAATATCCGATAAATTATTATGAGAAAAAATAATCTTAAAATTATTACAACACTTTTTAATAAGTCAATAAGAAATAAGTTTATGGGCCCTGCTTTTAATTTAGTTTATTAATATTTATGGGCCCTGCTTTTAATTTAGTATATTAATATAGTTTTTAACGTTATGATGAGAACAATAAATTAATAAGAAATAAGTTTATGGGCCCTCTTGTATTAATATAAAAAATAATATATTAATATTTATGAGCCTTATTTTTAATTTAATCTATTAAAATATAATAAATTAATACAAATTAAAATTATGGGTCCTGGGCGGGTGCCCCTCTTGCCCCTGCCCAGAGCCGGCCCTGACGGTCTATCCCACCACCTATGACAAATATAATTTTTATCTCCATCTCTGTCGCATCCTCGAAACATTTACTTATCATATCTTATTACATGCTAAAGTAGAACAGAACCCTACAAAATCCGTCCTACTAATATCCCTAGACAAACCCTTTACAGTCTCCAATTTTTACATTTTAAAAAGCCCTTAGTCATGGTAGTTCTTGAGTCACTTATGCCATAACATCTACTTTTGTTCAACAGATATTTACTCCTCAATTGGATCTAAAGAGAAACTTCTCCATGTGATTTTTACTCTAACAAGTCTTGATTCGTGGTCTTGATCAAACAATAATCATCTTCAAAAACCACCTTAAAGTTTTTTTCTAGCAGCTGAACACTTAACAAGTTTTGATCTAGGTACACATAACACATTAAAAGTTATTTTAGTACTTGAATGTGTTGCAATAGCAATGGTTTCGATTCCTTTTGTATGGATATGACCATTGTGGTCAATCTTGACTATTTTAATTAGCTTTAGTTCCTTGAAAAGTTCTTGTCACGAGTAGCGTGATTAATGCACTTTGTTATCACTTGTGTCCTGTGATCACACGAATCCTAAATTATGAGAAATGTATCTTGTGAATTCTCGTTAACTGACTCGTGTCTCTTATCTGCAACTTCACGAATACACCTTGTGAACACTCACTAACGGTCGTGTATCAACACACATGTGGCCCATCCAGATGACTAATTTATCTGTACCATCGCTTCCTTGGATGTCCAACCAAGATCTATGCCACAACATCCTCCAACCGACACCTGCCCAGAATATTATAAATAGCCCAACAACAAAGAGCAAAACAACGTACACTCCTCTGCCAAAAGAACTAGACCTCCAACTCCAAACCTGGCGACTACCACCTTAACTGCCGTACCGACTGCCTTCCACGGTTATTGTTTCTCCCATTAGTTAACACACTCGTTCTCCACTAACCTACACTTTCTTCTATTAACAGTAGAGGGCTTTGTACTCGCTAGAAAAATTTCAACTATATAAGCCTTTAAAATCAGAACAAAAAATCTTACTCGATTTGTTATGCTTAAGAGCCCTTCAAAATACTCTTTGATGATCTCCAACTCTTCATATTTTGTAATTCGAAGTCTCTTACAAGGTTCCACTAACCTTAACTGGCGTACCGACTGCCTTCCAAGGTTATTGTTTGTCCCATTAGTTAACACACTCGTTCTCCACTAACCAACACTCACTCAAAATACCATTTAAAAATAATGTTGCATTGAAGAGTTGATCTTCCTTTTCTTCTATTAACTGTAGAGGGTTTTGTACTCGTTAGAAAAATTTCAACCATATAAGCCCTTAAAATAAGAACAAAAAATCTTTCTCGATTTGCTATGCTTAAGAGCCCTTCAAAATACTCTTTGATGATCTCTAACTCTTCATATTTTGTAATTCAAAGTCTCTTACAAGGTTCAACATCTATACCCCTTTGATTTGTACATCTTCTTCGTATTCTACTTTGAGATAATCCCATATAGTTTTGGCTACTTTCAAAGAAATGATTCAAATGAAAATTGTTGATGAAATTGCTACAACTCAGTTCTTCTAATTTTTCTACCATTGTTGGATTCTTAGGTAGCAGAGGAATTTCATATATCTAAAACGTTTAGGTAAGCTTCCATCAATATTAGAGGTGTTTATGGTTAAGTTTTAATCGAGTTTAAGTACGAGGTTAACATACTTCACTCGTGCTCAAATTCGATCCAACACAAAAAGCAAGTCTTAATTATTTTTTTGAAGTGTGCTCATATTTATAAATGATTAAAAAATCTTGTTTTCGATAAATTTTTATTCTATTGTAAGTTTAATATTTAATAATCATATATATTCAATAAGTTAATTTTTTAAACTCTTTTATATTTGAACTAATATATTTTTATATTTACTTTACGATAATATATGTTATTATAAATTTAATTTTTAAGTTACATAAATTATATAATAAAATAATATAATATATTACTTTTTTAACAATAATATAATTTTTAAGTTCTTATGGTTTTCCTATTCCTGTGATTCTTAATTTGAGCCATTGTTGGATTGTCACGTAGTGAAGAAATTATAATTCAATGGACCAATTTTATATTAATACATTTTTTGAGAGCTGTAAAATATTTGACACAACCATTTAAACGAAAAATAATTTT